TTCCTGCTGGATGAGGATTAAAAACTCTTTCTTCTCCCTTAATCCATGTCTGCATGGACTGTCTTATAATCTGTTGTAAGGTTGGCTTCACATCTTTCAGGAACCCTGACTCCGAATCCTTCAGTAACTAGTAATTCCTGGTCCCTAGATCAGCATGCAAGTTCTGGGACAGGAGAGTGTATCAGAGAAGATGGCATCTCTGAGCTGCCAGGTGGGGGAGGCAGAGACGCCTCCCGAAAGGATACCTCAGGAGCTGGACCTTCAGCAGTCAGCCTCAGGCCCCGGAGAGCAGCTGAGCCACGTGGTGAAAGAGGAATCTGACAGCGAGCCAGCATTCGGTGAGTCTCAGTTGTGATTTGGGTGCTCTTGGAAAAAATGAGGGTTTGTGTGAGTTGAAAATGTTGTGCTGGGATTGAGGTGTCCCTGGGAAGTGTGTAAACAGGATGTGTGGATCGATCTCTCTGATTCACCCTGATTTGGAGATTCACAGCCTGCCTTTTGTGCCCCTTTCTGACCCTGCACGGCCACCTGGATTTTGGTTCTGAGGAAGCAGGTGGGAGATCATTTGCAGGAGGCCGCTTGGAAGGTCGGAGAGATGAGACTTGTTAGGGATGCCTAGCCTGTCCTGAAATCGTGGCTGGAGGAACTGCGATCGGTTCAAATGTATCAAGATTTCTTTGGTCAGGACCCTGTGGGCAGTGACTGAGGCGGACATGTAGACTCTTAAAACTTGCTGTTTCTCACTTCAGTGATGGCTCCTTCCCAGCTTCTTGTCCGGCCTGAGGAAAGGCCCGTGAGAGATGAGGACGTTGGCGCCTCCTTCCTCCACGCATCGTCTCAGGTGAGCTGTGTTCCCCCATGTTTCTCACCCTCAGCCAGGTTGGAGCGTGATTCAGTGCTCGGGATTGAAAGAAGTAAAGGCTAAGAACAGGAGCACACCTCGTAGGATAAGACAAGTCTTACAGTCCTCTCTAGGTGGAGTGGTCTTTGAATTACCATACTGAACTGTGGCGTATGGGCTCTGGAAGAAAGTATGACGTGCTAGGAAGAGACAAACCTTGTCTACCACACCAATTGTGATCCCTCCTGTGTTGTCTTTGGGTTGGATTAAGGAAGGACTGGCTGTATTTTGCTTGCTAGTTAGGCCATTGGCATACATGTCAGATTGAGGTTTTCAATACTTATATCTATTCTGAGACGTGTGATTTTTTCTTCTCAGCTCTATATGGAGATATAATTAGTATTCAATAAACAGTATATTTTTAAAATGTATGCTTTGGTATATTTTGGGTTGTGTATATATTCATGAATCTAGCACTACATCCAAGATAGCAAATGTCATAGATTGCATGGTAGCTGACTCACCCACCCCCTTGCCTTTTCAAATTTTGAATGATGCAGAAAGCATCAAAGGACAGTGCAGGAATACAGAGAGTCGCTGTTGACATTCATCCCCTTTAAGAAATAGCATATGACCCTGAACTGATGGTACTTTAGGAAGAAGTGCCAGCTGTACTGAAGATGTTAACAGAAAATAACACTCCAGGAATCAACAGAAGGATGGAATGAAATGTTTTCACAAGCTGACGTAGCACTAGAAGCACTCATTCATCTATGCCAGGAAGTTTGGAAGACCATTACTTGGCCAACAGACTGGAAGAGGTCCATATTTGTGCTCTTTTCAAAGAAACGTCACCCAACCGAATGCAGAAATTGTTAGACAATAGCATTAAAATCACATGCAAATACAATTTTGCTGAAGGTAATTCAATAAGGGATACAGCAGTATGTCAGCAGAGCTGTCATAAATTTAAGGAGGATTCAAAAGAGGATGTGGAATGAGGCATATCATTGCTGACATCAAATGGATTTTGCCTGAGAGCAGAACATTCCAGAAAGGTGCTTCCTTGTGCTTTATTGACTATACAAAGGCATTTGACTGTGTGAGTCATAACCAACTGTGAATAACATTGTGGAGATTGGAAATTCCAGAACACTTGATTGTGCTCATGGAACCTGTGCATGAACCAAGAGACAGCCAGTGTAAGGGAACAGAGGAATACTTCATGGCTTAAAATCAGGAAAGATGTGTGTCAGAGTTGCATCTACACTTATTCAGCTATCTGCTCAGGAAATCCAAGAAGCTGGACTGTTTGAAGACAAGTGTGGCCTCAGGTTTAGAGGAAGTCTTGTTAACAACCTGTGATT